TTTTTGCACTCTTATATTCCCTTTAACTTCTCCCACCCCCCTCCCCCCCTCCTGCATTGTCTCTCATACTTTTCTCCATCTCTTATTCTTCGCTATATCCCCTTCATAACTTAAACACCCAAACCGTTCAATAGATAACATGTTGGGAGATGAGTAAACCTAAAAAATGGCGCACAATGGAAGATCTGGCATGAACGTGCTTCTAACATTAGTTTTTTTTTCTCGGAGATTTAAAAATATTTTTTTGTTCGTCATCATTCAAACTTCCTTGCTTTTACAACGTAAACGGATCTACTGAAAGTAATTCAAAATTATGAACATTCTGTGGAACTAACATCTACTTTTTTACTCTACAGCAGAGGTTTGGTCCATCACCATCACCGAATTTTAAATATGAACATTCTGTTTAAAAAATGAAGAGAATGTAAGTAGTTGTGTTATGACTCACAATTTTTATCCAGAATATTCTGTTTGTAATTTTAAACAAAAAATTTCGTAAATTTTAAATTTGTTCGGTAAGATCGATATTTATACGAGTTAAGTCCAAGCATTGTACTCTAAATCTGCAATGGGATTCTTGAACCATTTCTTATGGTTAAATCTCATTTTCAATTCTTGAGAACAAAGGAATTGTGTCTTTGCCACAAATTCAAATTTTCCAATTTCTATATTTTTTTCAACAGTTGTTAAAAAACTTTGATATTCCAAACTTAGATTATTTGATCTAAAAAAATATAATGTTTTAAATATCTAAGGTCTACGACATTGGGTCGCAAAGATGTTTAGAAGGGTTTAAAAAACAAGAGTTTGTGACAAAGACCCAGTTTAACGCAAAGTTTAGTTATAAGGAAATCCTGAATTTTAACCGACATTTTGATATTTGATAAATAATGAATGTTAAGGTTTATTTATGGAATAGTTTACGACCACAAAACTGTAACTTTTACGAGAAAAACGTCAAGTTTAGTTTTTTAACTGCCTTGCCTAATTTGAATTCCGTTTTAGGAGAAGCCAGACACTGATATTAGTTCAAGATTTAGCCAGACACTGATATTAGTTCAAGATTTAACCAGACACTGATATTAGTTCAAGATTTAGCCAGACACTGATATTAGTTCAAGATTTAGCCAGACACTGATATTAGTTCAAGATTTAGCCAGACACTGATATTAGTTCAAGATTTAACCAGACACTGATATTAGTTCAAGATTTAACCAGACACTGATATTAGTTCAAGATTTAACNTCTATCTGGCATCCATCTTATATATTCCTTTTGAATGATTATAAAGAAGATGGATGGATTTAAGAAGAGATAATAGATTGATTAGATTGATCGATTAGACTGGCGGAGTTTAGCCTTAACAGTATATACATCAATACTTATACAATATTCATCCACTGTAGACTACACAGTTATGTAAAACAGTAACCAAATAACAACTTGGAAGAAGGGGTCGGGCTTTTGTGGTTGATCTTCGTATACCCTTTATCAGACCTCTCTAACCAGCAGACTTTTCTGTAGCCTTGGTGTTTGTAAGATAAAGAACTATTTTGAGGGGTTTAGGTTCGACCTCCCCCCCCCCTCCTTTATGAATTCAAGAAAAGCTTTATTTAAAATTCATATTTCTGTTTAGTAATAAAAATAATTGAAGTTTAATTCTAATTTTTAAAACTAATTTTGAATCCTACCTAAGTTCGTGTTTAGAAAGTGCACTAATGAAGTTATTTCATTGATACCACTCTTGATGCTTGAGCACGACAAGATGATTTGAAATTTTAGCCAACATTTATTTTATTTTGTGACAGTAGTGATATTCAACTTAATTTCAACTAAATCTCTTTTCAAAATTTCTAGGCTTTTAGGGTGCTTTGCATTCCTCTTCGTTAAAGTTATAAGTTATATTCATCTATTTATTCACTTTTCATTCATTTATCTACTTATCTATATATTCATCTATCTAATCAACTTTCATTCATTTATCTACTTATCTATCTATTACTCTATCTATTCACTTTTCATTCATTTATCTACTTATCTATCTATTACTCTCTTTATTCACTTTTCATTTATTTATCTACTTATCTATCTATTCATCTATCTATTCATCTTTCTATTCATCTTTCTATTTATCTTTCTACTTATTTTTCTATTCATCTTTCTATTTATCTTTCTATTCATCTTTCTATTCATTTTTCTATTTATATTTCTACCACATTCAACTTTCTATTTTTCTATGTAATATTTATCAAAGTGAGCATCTATTAAATCATTAATATAAGCATCTATACCATGAATAAAGCAGATCTAATTTACTGCCTGCATAAGAAAATCTCATTTATAACAGTGAAGGTATCTACCTTATCCACCTTTTAACCTTTTCCTTTGTTTATCGTCTTACTTTTGTTGTATTTTTAAACAAAAAAAGTGTTTTAAGGGAGTTTCCTTATCTTACATATCTTATTAGAGATAGATTGCTTCACTGGTGATGTCTAATTTTGGTAGATTCCTTCGCTATGCGTACACGCCTGTGTTTTTGTTTGCTAACGACCATTATTTCCTACGCATCCAAACTATTTGTCAAAATGAAGTTTAGATTCATTTGTTTAACCAATATCTACATGAAGAATAATAACATATCAATTAGGTATTTAGAATTAGACACTTCCTGATAACAACGTTATTGTAAGTTAAGAAGGGATCTAAAAATGCTTAAAATAACAAGCTGTGAATATTTTTTAAAGATCGGTCAGGGTTCGAGAATCGACTTTAAGGTCGTGTGCTCTGGTGTGTTTATAAATACAAGAAAACATTGAGGTTTGTTTCATCTCCGAACTGTATTTTCCTTACGCGCATTCCGCGGCTGCACACTGTGCATTAATAATATAAACGTGCGCGCACCTTTCATTCCCATGCACGTATTTGTGAGCACTCTAGGTACACTGTATTGTTACGTTTAATCTAGTAAAGAAAAAATATAGGTTGAATAGTTTTGAATACTTCAAATATCTTTCTAATATAATTTACGTGAACACTTTAAAACTTCAATATTTACAATCATTTTCATATTATATTTTTTATTGTATTTTAATTTTGTATTTTTTTCTTTACTTCTTACTTATCTATTATTCTGTAACACATAGTAGATTCTGGAACACCCTGTAGAGGGAGGTAGTCAGTATTCTGGAACACCCTGTAGAGGAAGGTAGTCGGTATTCTGGAACACCATGTAGAGGGAGGTAGTCAGTATTCTGGAACACCCTGTAGAGGGAGGTAGTCAGTATTCTCGAACACCCTGTAGAGGGAGGTAGTCAGTATTCTGGTATACTGGAACACCATGCAGAGGGTAGGGAGTCAGTATTCTGGAACACCCTGGAACACCCTGTAGAGGGAGGTAGTCAGTATTCTCGAACACCCTGTAGAGGGAGGTAGTCAGTATTCTGGAACACCCTGTAGAGGGAGGTAGTCTGTATTCTGGAACACTGTGTGGAGGGAGGTAGTCAGTATTCTGGAACACTGTAAAGAGGGTTTGGAGTACTAATATACTGGAACACCATGCAGAGGGTAGGGAGTCAGTATTCTGGAACACCCTGTTGAGGGAAAGGAGTCAGTATTATGGAACACTCTGTAGAGGTTAGGGAGTTCTAGTCTTCTGGAACACTCTGTAGAGAGTGGAAAATCAGTATTTGGAACACCCTGTAGAGGGTAGGGAGTCTTTGTATTCTGTAGCACCGTGTAGAGGTAGGGAGTCCTATTAATCTGAAACACCCTGTAGAGGGAGGTAGTCAGTATTCTTGAACACCGTGTAGAGGGTAGAGAGTTCTAGTACTCTGAAACACCCTGTAAGGTTAGGGAGTTCTAGTCTTCTGGAACACTCTGTAGAGAGTGGAAAATCAGTATTTGGAACACCCTGTAGAGGGTAGGGAGTCTTTGTATTCTGTAGCACCGTGTAGAGGTAGGGAGTCCTCTCGAACACCCTGTAAAGGGAGGTAGTCAGTATTCTGGAACACCCTGTAGAGGGTAGGAAGTCCTAGTACTCTCGAACACCCTGTAAAGGGAGTTAGTCAGTATTCTGGAACACCCTGTAGAGGGAGGTACTCAGTATTCTGGAACACCGTATAGGGGGAGGTATTCAGTATTCTGGAACACCGTGAATCCTGCAGAGAATGTTTTGCTGCTTGGTTTGACGGTCAAATTGGCTCTTCAATTCGTAGCAGAGAAATTTTAGTGTTAAAGGGAAAGTAAACTAATAAATGCTTTTAGAATAAATACAAAAAATATCAAAAAATTGGAAGTTAATGATAGTTTTAAAGTTAGGAAAAGTGTCATTTTAAGTGCAACTCAATTTTGCACAAATTTACCAGCTGCAAGAAGTCAAAAGATAGATTTCAGAATCAAAGTTATTTTCTGCAGACTTTTCCTTTAATGAAAGGTAGATTCAGGGCAGAAGTGAATACTTGGTAATCTAGAGTGAAAAATGTTGCTGGGGGGTAGAATTTGATTGAGAAGAGTAACTACAGGGATGGGAGGTAGGATAGGAGGAGAGGTGGGTTAATAACCACCTTAGGGGGGTGAGTTTTCTTTCAAAACCTTAGAATCTGTTCACTTGAAATTTATATAAGATACATTTTAAAGTATTGACGGTAACGTTCACGATTTTGTAGGTGGTTAACACCTACAAAATCGTGAACGTACCTTAAATATTTAACGTAAATTTGACTTTCTTGGAAATAAAAAAAAAGATAATTTCCGGCCAAATAAACTGAAAATACGAAATATTTACATTAAAATACATCTTATAGATAAATTAATAAATCAAACTTTTTCATCGATTTCATGATTTTTCACTTGTACGTGTATGCACAAATTGTACAGTTGTATACATAAAAAGCTATATTAAGGTTTATATACTATAAGTATATATATATAATAGTATACAGAAGTGTACGTTTATTTTTGTTGTACTTCTTCAAAACTCTAAATGTATTCTATGTATTCAGGATGTGGTGCCGCAAAGACTGATTTCCGTTGTCCGGAAGAGTTTGGATACTACGCTCACCCTACCGAGTGCAGTAACTATTATGTGTGTGTATTTGGTGGACCCCTTTTAGAGAGTTGTACAGGAGGATTAGTGTACAGCCATGATCTTCAAACCTGTGATTGGCCCAGGTAATATTAGTGTACAGCCATGATCTTCAAACCTGTGATTGGCCCAGGTAATATTAGTGTACAGCCATGATCTTCAAACCTATGATTGGCCCAGGTAATATTAGTGTACAGTCATAATCTGTTTATCTGTCTATCTAGTGAACTTGTTTACTGTCTGTTTAGTGAACCGTTTATCTGCTTTTCCATTAAACTGTTTATCTGTCTGTTTAGTGAACTGTTTATCTGTCTGTCTAGTGAACTGTTTATCTGTCTGTCTAGTGAACTGTTTATCTGTCTGTCTAGTGAACTGTTTATCTGTCTGTCTAGTGAACTGTTTATTTGTCTGTCTAGTGAACTGTTTATCTGATTGTCTAGTTAATTGTTCCTATGCTTGTCTAGTAACTGCTTTATGTTTGTCTTGTGAACTGGTTGTCTATTTGTCTCGTAAACTGTTTGTCTGTCTGTCTAGTGATTTTTTGTCTGTTCGTCTTGTGAATTATTAGTCTGTCTGTCTAGTAAACTGTACAATAAACTTGTCTGTCTGTTTTTATTTGCTTTTGAACAGTCTGTCTGCGAAAATGTTTGGTTTTCTATCTTACTGTTTGTTTGTTCTGTGAACTATCTGTCTGTGAGTTTATATTTATGTGTGTGAGCTTGTGAAAACTGTATTTAGTATTCGAGTAGTTCAGCAACTGGGTGGTATTTTTTCTAAAACTCTTCTTTATTCCTGTGTGACCGTGCAGGGCTGGCTGTCAGTTTGTCAGTATTTTGGCGCATTTGCTATAAGTTAACAAGAGGGCAGGAGAGGGTCAGATTTTGTCTTCCATTTTAAATATTCAACATTATTGATAAGTCAAAAAAAAGGCTATGAGCTATTTTTGCAAACATTATTTTTCCTTACGTCATTGAGTCATATTTTCTATACATGATTTTTGTTATACAGATTTTATCCTATAGCTCATCTATAGCCGCAGCGCTCGGCCATTCTTATAGCTTACGACGGCATGGCTCAGAAGGTGCGCTTTACCTATGAAAAAAAAAATAATGTAGAACTGATAAATTATTTTAGGAATGTTGCTTGTAACTCCAACAGAAACTCGGTTCTCGACGAATCCATCGGGATCGCTCTCGACTCTCAAAAGGTTCAATATTTGAAGTTATTTATTTGATTTCCTCGTGATAAGGATTCTTTGATATTTTATATTGTTTACGTTAAAACTTCGTAGTGTATAATTCAGTAGGTAGGTCTTTGCCAAAATCTAATGCACGCTTAGTTCATCAGGTTTTTTAACCAATAAATTTACATTAATACTCACCACATTAACATGATACGAACTGCTGAGTGCTGCGTAATTTTTTAGTAAAATCAAAATTATAGATTTCTGAACTTTAAAACCATTAACTGGATTCATAGGTTTATTACCCAATAAACCTTTACATACAATTTTACTGAGATTGTAAATTTTTCCCATTTTAGTATTTTCATGAGCTTTAAATCTTCCTTTAACAGCACATTAGGCTATTACTGGAAAAAGAAGGTTTATTAATTGATAGTAAATATATACAATACTATTAGAAATTCACAAAATTAGGTAAAAAATAGATATTTTTTATTTTTTCAATTATTACCAAATGCAAGATCGTTATGAAAATGTTTGGATTGGACCAAAAGGTAGAAAATATTGAAACTTCAAGGAAGACCTAAAACTCTTTATTTACACCTACAGCAAGTGTTGAATTTGGGTTTCTGCCCTAAATACAGTCTTTAAAAGGTGTATTGGAAGATTTAGCCAACGAAATGTATGTGGCAGGGAACGATGAATATGGCAAAAAATAAGTTTAAAGTAGCAGGAACGATTAATATGACAAAAAAGGCTGTTTAAATTTCGTACAGTCGTCTCTGAAGTCTCATTCTTAGTAGATAACCCTGCACATTCCTCCTGCAAAAGGTAATAAAACCCATGTCAATATATAATCAGAGACGTACTAAAAGGGTTGTGGGGGCTGAGCCCCACCTGGATCAGTGATATCTATGGTTTCCAGGGTTTTGGGCCCCAACTGGTAAAAGAAAAAAATAAAACAACCCCTGGACAAATTCCTGAGAACGCTTCTGTATTCAATATAGGGCGTTCCTGTTTTATATATTTCTTGGTCCGTCATAAAACCACATCCTTCTTTTAAACCAAACAGACTCATAAACTTGAAAATGGAATAGAGAGATATAAAACTGTATTCACAAGAGATGAGCTGTATAGGACCCCATACTGGTTTCAAATTAGAACGCGTGTAGCAACTAATTTATGCGCGCCTTAACACTTCAAATTCACTTAATTGTTCGCATTTTAGCTAATCACCGCCTGTCTTCAACATAGAGAAAAACAATGGCTATTAGCATCATAAGTACTGAAAATTAAACCAAAATATGGACACGATCCTTTTTACACACTCCACCCAAATTCGAGACGATTAAGCAGATTATTTCAAATCTAAAACACCCTGAAATGATCTTGTGCAGAATCGTTTATCGTAAAATTGATCATCAAAATATGATCATTTATTAAATGTTTCGTACGCGAGGATTTTTACCCTTGTCATTCCTGTCATCGGAGATAAATGAGTTTATTCTTTGAAATATATATGCCTGAAAATCAGCAGAGGTATTATCATGGTGTCATAGTTCCTTTGTAAATAAACAGAATGTTTGGAACACAGACAATTGAGCACTTGCTTGAGTTTTTTTATAATCTTCCCAGCTGGTTCCTTGTTTATACCTTTCCCAGGGTTCCTTGTTTATATCCTTCCCAGGGTTCCTTGTTTATATCCTTCCCAGGGTTCCTTGTTTCTATCCTTCCCAGCTGGTTCCTTGTTTATATCCTTCCCAGGGTTCCTTGTTTATATCCTTCCCAGGGTTCCTTATTTATATCCCTCCCAGGGTTCCTTGTTTATATCCCTCCTAGGGTTCCTTGTTTATATCCTTCCCAGCTGGTTCCTTGTTTATATCCTTCTCAGAGTTCCTTGTTTATATCCTTCTCAGAGTTCCTTGTTTATATCCTTCTCAGGGTTCCTTGTCTATAATCCCTCCTAAGGTTCCTTGTTTATATCCCTGCCAGGGTTCCTTGTTTTTATCCTTCCCAGCGTTCCTTGTTTATAATTCCTTCTAGGGTTTCTTGTTTATATTCCTCTTAGGAAACCTTGTTTATATCCTTCCCAGGGTTCCTTTTTTACATTCCTGCAAAGAGTCCTTTTTTATATCCCTGTCAGGATCCTTGTTATCCCTCCAAAGGTTCTCTGTTTATATCTCTCCCGGATTCCTTGTTTATATCCCTCCTAGGGTTCCATGTTTATATCCCTCCTAGGGTTCCATGTTTATATCCCTCCTAGGGTTCCTTGTTTATATTCCTATTATGGTACCTTGTTTGAATCCGTCCTAGGGTACCTTGTTTGTATCCCTGCAGGATACCTTGTTTGTATCCCTCCTAGGATACCTTGTTTGTATTCCTCCTAGGATACCTTGTTTGTATCCCTCCTAGGGTACCTTGTTTGTATCCCTCCTAGGATACCTTGTTTGTATCCCTGCTAGGATGTATACCTTGTTTGTATCCCTCCTAGGGTACCTTGTTTGTATCCCTCCTTGGATACCTTGTTTGTATCCCTCCTAGGATACCTTGTTTGTATGTCTTAGGGTACCTTGTTTGTTCGTATCTTTCCCATTGTTCTTGGCGTATATTCCTTGGATGCTAGGATCCTTTAGTTTTCTAGGCATGCTTAACCTGGTAAAATGTGTTTACCTTTTGAACTATTAATTTTTGCCCTTGATCTGAAATAGCCTTGTTGCATCAACTTTTGAACTAACACATGCGCCGTGCATGCTGCATATGCAAATAAACATTTTTTCTCCGCTCTTCCTTTCTCAGCAAAATGTAGCAGGGTTTTCCAACATCTTTAGAAGATGAAAAATACTGTTGGGGCTGGAATATAATAATCATCTACTTAATTAGCTGTACATTAAATAGTTTAACGTCTTTATTTTGTAATTATTATACGCTCATTTGACTTTAATGCATTATATTTTTCAGAAAGGAGCAGCCCAGTGGGTCAAATGTTGAAATAATTAGGCAATAAAAGCTTTATAGATGTGGGGGGGGGGGGAAGAAGTCTAGGAAAGAGAATTTTGTAATGTGCTTTTGACCTTTGCTGTATTGAGGCTATTGAGAGGGGGTGGGTAATTTCGCCTCCCCCCCCCCTCATTTGCTCGTTTCAGCCAAGTCTTTTTTTTGAACAGCCATTTATATCAGAGGCGTTAAAGTCAGGGGTGGGGGCTACGGCGGAATGAAAAAAAAAAATGTAAGCCCCCCCCCCCCTCCTCGGACAAATTCCTGACTACGCCCATGATTTATATTATATAGAATATCTTTCTGTAGACAATAAGGAGTTAAGGAATGCTGGATAACTTTTATCATGTTATTTTGTTATTATTAAATTTAAAATTTCAATTTGCGTAATGGACACAAAACAATCATTACTGTGATAGAATGTTATAAATTCTGTCACCCTGATTTAACAATTCAGTCCTCTTCCAACCAAGCAGCGACTTTCGATCACAATTTAACCTATCTAACGTTTTTTTCGTTTTTTCCCTTTTGTATTATAGGGTTTTAAATCAGAAAGTAGTAAAACTTAGAAGACAACTCCGGAAGTTGAAAGATTGTTTAATTTTAACAAAACACGATTGCATTCAAATTAAAAAAATCAAACACATCTCGCCCTGGCTAGTCCAGGGTGCTGAGTTCCTATTTGTATTTACTAGGCTGCAAAACAATAGCTTTCTAAATATCTGATGTTTATTCTATTTGTTTTAGGATGAAAAGTCGAAGAGTAACCGTACACCTCGTAAACAAAACAATAACAAGCAAGAACAGGTTTTTAACCTACCCAAACCTATCTCAAGGTAAAACAAAAAAGAAAAATCTAAAAAAGAAAATTTACAAAATGTGTTAAGAAACGAAGCATATAGCTTTAAAAAATATTTATTGAACAATAAAAGATCAATGTTCTTAGAGCGAGCTGGGGATTTAAAAAAAATGTTTTGCATTAAAAAATCTGTTCCTTCATTTTACTCTTATGGCTTCATGAATTTTTATGATTGTGTTTGTTAAATATTAAAAGAATTCTCTTGTACAGGGTTCCTTGTTTATATTCTTCCCAGCTGGTTCCTTGTTTATATCCTTCCCAGGGTTTCTTGTTTATATCCTTCCCAGGGTTCCTTGTTTATATCCTTCCCAGGGTTCAGCAACTGGGTGGTATTTTTTCTAAAACTCTTATTTTATAAGGTGTAGTAAATTATGACAATCAAGAATAAATATTATTAAAATTAGAGATTTCTACAAAAATATTTTTAAAAACTCCCAAAAATGGAATAAGAAAAGGACATGTCAAGAAAGGCGAGACATTATTGATAAATGTTGATGGGAAGATTATTTTGAAAATGATGATCAAAGATCGCCGACAACTCCACACTAATCCAAGTATTAGTCCTAGTTTGTTACATTTTTAACATCGCTATTTAGGGTTATAATGAAGATTTTATGGTGTGTAAAAAGTATAAAATTTAAGCATGAATATGTATACAGGCAGAAATCTGCTTTAGTGTAAAATTAGAATATTTATAAAAAGATCAGAATTATAGTTAAACATTTAAATATATAAAAAACATTTATGATAATCTAACAAAAATATAGATTTATTTCAAAAGGAAAACAGACGTAACAATTAGTTTCCCTCCATTTGTAGAGTGGCATTTGAAACAAAGGAATTGAGTCTTTGCCACAAACTCTCATTTTCTAATCACTATATCTTTAGAACCAAATGTTGCAGACCTTAGATATTTCAAACTATGAATTATGTTAGATCAAATTATCTGAGTTTAAAATATCAAAGGTTTACAACATCGAGTTCTAAAGATATTGAGGTTTAAATATTTGATTTTGTTCCAAAGACTCAATTCCTTTATTAAATTAAAGAGAGAAAAAGAAGGATTCCTCAATCATTTGTTTGCTCAGACTAAAGACGGTAAACGGTATAGTTAATTATGTATCAGACATAACATCTATAAATGGAGGATCACTGTAAATTACGGTTACATTCCGTAAATAAATAAAGGAATAAATCTATGAACTGGTTTATATCAGGGAGACCGAAGGTGTTGGAGTAGATGACGAGGAGGAAGAAGAATTGTTAAGTCTCTCTCCTCAACCTAGTATTGTTAGTACAGTTACACACGGAGCTAACAATAGGAATACATTGAAAACTTCTCAGGTATACATTTATACTGTACTGTACTGTACTGTACTGTACTGTACTGTTCTGTACTGTACAGTGCTGTACTGTACTGTACTGTACTGAACATTATTATCTTTATCTGTTCGCACTAAAATAGAAGAAAATGTTCACAATTGTTTTTATGCGTTTTGTAAATTGTAATTTAAACCTTCGAATATCTTGAACATATCTTTTTTATTTTCTCTCATACATACAAATAACATTAGTTTTACTTGAAGGGAATTATTCATTTGGTGTACTGTCCCGTTTTGTCTTATATAGCATAAATGTGTACTGTACAGCTTGCTTTAACTGTACAAAGATTGGCCCTGTACACCAAACATGAAAACTGGAGTTTACAGTGATATGAATATATATCTTTTAATATGTTTGTCAATATTTCAGGATATGGAAGAGGAAGAGGAAAAGGAAGAGAAGGAGATCGAGAGAAGAATAGAAACTATCCAAGAAGAAATTCTTCGACAAACAAACTTTGGAGATGTACTCTTCGGATCCAGGTTAAATAATTCATAATATTATGTTTAGTACTACAATTATAATATGTTTACAAAGTACACCATGTACAAACAATTCATTATAATATGTTAGGTACTAAATTATAAAATTTGTAAGTGCACTAATTATGAAGGACTAAACAATCTTAAGAAACGTAAACTAAACCTTACACATTTACAACGCTTAAGTTTTAGAATTATTTTACAGGGGTCAATATAATTCCCTTTTCAATCCCATTTGGGATTGACAAATTTGAAAGAAATGGGGGCAAATTCTTTAATTGGGGGCAAATTTTTTTTATATGATAATTTAAAAAAAAATTGGGGGCATTTTTTTTAAAAATTGGGGGCATTTTTTTCAAATTGGGGGCAATGGGGCTAATGTGCTAGTGGAATTTGAAAAAAAAATTTTAACTGGGGGCATTTTTTTTAAAAATTGGGGGCATTTTATTTAAAAATTGGGGGCAATGGGGCAAATGTGTGAGTGGAATTTGAAAAAAAAATTTTAACTGGGGGCATTTTTTTTAAAAATTGGGGGCATTTTATTTAAAAATTGGGGGCAATGGGGCAAATGTGTGAGTGGAATTTGAAAAAAAAATTTTAACTGTGGGCATTTTTCTTAAAAATTGGGGGCATTTTTTTTCAAAATTGGGGGCAAAAAATTATTTTGGGATCGAGAAAATCAGCTTTTTTGGGAATTATATTGACCCCTGTTATTTTATCATCAAAATATGCTTAGTTTTTTCGTTATACACAAATAACTATTGAAGAAAAAAGTAAGCACTACAAACCAAAAATGTGATGTAGTGGTTGCAATTAAACAGAAATTAAGAAGATTTAGATTTACCATTTTAACAGCAAAGCAAAAACCTCAAAGTTTTATTTTACAAAAATGTTTTGCAGAGCTTTTATTGTTATCTAGTTTCCAATTTAAGAATCTTGGAAAGAATCTGAGTTTTTGTCACAACCTAAGATTTTCTATAATCACTATTATCCCTATATCTTTGCATTTTCCAACAATTCTATCCTGTGAGATCAAATAATCTAAGTTAAAATATTAATGGTTTACACCATCAAGTTGAAAAAATTAAGGGAATCGAAATTTTGTGTTTGTGACAAGGACTCGATTCCTTCAATAATTTTTGATTTCAGGACTCCAGCCAAGGAACCTCTACCCGGAGACCCTCCAGTAAACTCTAGTAGTTTAGAGAAATCCCTGCTAGCTGGATACCCCGGAGTTCCAACCGTCCTAGATGATTCTCAGGTCTTCATCTCTCTTTGTTTCATTAAAAACTTTTTTTTGAATTTTATTGAATTTTTTCTACAGCTTGTTTCATGCTTACGCATATTATACCTTTATTTTGCCCTTGGAGCAAACTTAAAAATTAAACTTAAGGTAATTTTCAGTGACCTTTTATTTAACGAAGGGTGTGCCCGATTCGCAAAGGTGCTCTAAAGACTTTCATCTAATTTTTTCGCCTTTTAAAAATGTTAATTCTGTTGATTTCCGACACGGTTTCATTTGCAGAAATACGCAAATTGCTTTAGACCGATAATTAAAAATTGTGAGACAGAAAAACTAATATTGTAATTCGGACAAACCTTTTTTAAAATTAAGGTCATTTATAAAATATATGTCTACAATCCTTCAAGTAAATTCGATATCAGAATTAAAGCATTAATATTGTAGGATACGGATCCTATTGATAGCTTCTATTACGTGAACTGGGAGGATCCTATCTACGATCAGTTCGACGACTACGGGGAGAGGCTGGACAAGGGTGAGGAGGCTGCAGGGGAGGATGGAGAGGAGGATAAAGGTGGACCTCAGGCTGGTTAGTATCACAGCTACATTTTTAAACGCATGGGTTTCTTAAAAATTGTTTAATAAAGTGTAACAAATAGCAGTAATACATTTCTGGAAATTTTTTATATACTTTTCAAAAAACTAACAACAGAGTAAAAATCCCAGAAACTATTGAATATTAGATAAAAATAAAAAGGTGGTTAATGGATGAGAGGGTCAAATAAAACTACATAATCAGTTACTGAACAAAAATCCTTTCTAAACTTTTTGCACTAATTATTTGTAGATTCTTTGCGTTGAAACGAATTGCTAAAAATTGACCCTAAACCTTCTTAAGAAAAATTGCACGTCTTGAAATTTGCACTGCTAGTTTAAATTCATTCCATCATCCGCAAACTGTATTTGCGGAACAGATATTTTATCCATATAATTTTATACCTTGTATAAGTCTAGACAATGGGGTATTCTTTAAGTTTTTAAATCTTGAAATATTTCAAAATATTTCTGTGCATTACGATCCTGTGTGCATCTGCATATTGTACAATATGTTTATCAATAAGGAAATAAGGTTACTCGCCTTAAACACTAATCATCCATTATATTATAAGACATCTTTGCAACCAGAAAGTCCACACTTCTAATAATTCAATCTTTGATCTAACAGAATCATAGTTTGACATTTTTACCAACATTTTTATTATTATTCTGTCTACTAAAGCTATAAAAGGATATAGTGCCGTACATATTTTGTTATTTAAACTGTAATAATTCAACCTTTGATCTAACAGAATCATAGTTTGACATTTTTACCAACATTTTTAACTATTATTCTTTCTATTAAAGGTATTAACGAATAAAGTGCGCACATATTTTGTTATTTAAACTGTAATTTATTGTTTCTAGAGCCTAACTTACAAGCTTTATTTACGAACTCCTCCTAACGATTAATCGTACGTACATCACTTTGCGTCAATCGAAAACTGATTGCGTAAACCAAAGTTATAGGTGATCATATCTCCGTAAAAATTCAAAGAGAAGGGGATGGCATTTGTAGAAGTAGAAAAATAACCTTCTCTGATTTAATTATAAGAATTAAATAAGTAGATTTATAAATAAACAAATGTTTTAATTATTATATCTCGTTAATGTATTGTTAGAACGTAAAGACCAGATGGCAATCTCTTCTTACTATTTCCGGTTTTGTTTTATGTTTCTTTTATTTTTGCATTTTCTTCGTTTACTTTGGTTTATTTATCTATAAATATAGAATTATCTGTCATCTTTCTGAATCTATCAACGTATCTTATATATATTATCTAGTTAAGCATATCTATCCATCTATCCTTATCTAAATATTTATATCTATCGATCTATCCGTATTTCTATCTATCTTCATCTATCTATGTTTAGGATCGGTCTGGATTGATCACGAGATCCCTCAAAGACCCAGTAAAACCCATCCTCAAGGACAGAAGCAAAAACAATCAATTAATCAACTCTGCAATCAATTATTAAATTTGTCGGATAAAACATACCAAACCATACCATAAATACCTTGTAACACTCCTCTTGTTCTACTTTAAGCTGTGCTAAACCAAACCATAAATACCTTGTAACACTCCTCTTGTTCTACTATAAGCTCTACCAAACCATACCATAAATACCTTGTAACACTCGTCTTGTTCTACTATATGCTCTGCTAAACCAACAATTCCCCAACTCGTGACTTTCAGCAAATTTGCACATGCACCAACTGCCAATTTTAGTGCAGCCAAGAAATTTAATTTTCACGTTTTTCGCGCGCCTTAATTTTTTATTTCTTGCGCCAAAAAATGTGGTCCATCCAATCCAGAAATGTGGTCCATCCAATCCAGAAAATGTGGTCCATCCAATCCAAAAAATGTGGTCCATCTAATCCAGAAATGTGGTCCATCCAATCCAGAAAAATTGTCCATTTTGTAATTACAGGAATGAAATTAACTAGAACTATGTTTGATGCAATAAAGCGTTGCGTTGCAGCAGGTTTGTTGCAAATACTTTTAAAATTGTTTGCAAAACAATGCTTTCATAAAACTTCTCGATGACTATTCAAAAATTGAAGCTTGAACCGTCAATTCAATTGTTGGAACGTTATTTTTATTGAGACTTTTATCTTTGAAATCAGCATAAACCTCTAAATAAACAGTAAAGTTTATAAATTGTTACAAACAAAAGAGACATTAACGGTGTATTCATTGAAAAAGTTCAACGAATTACAAAAAAAACGATAATTTGACTTCTGGTTGAGTGTAGGTCCGGAACCAGAATCATCGGCGTTACCATGCAACGAACAGAGATGCACTTTGCCAGACTGCAGGTACTGGTAGTAATATATACAAAATACCAGACTGTAGGTAGTATAATATGGATAGAATACCAGACTAAAGGCAGTAATATATATAGAATACCAGACTGCAGGTAGTAATATGTATAGAGTATTAGACTGCAGGTAGTGATATATATAATAGAATACCAGACTGCAGGGTTTTTTCTTCTCTAAACAGAATAATTGTTTTTTTCTGGTTTAAAGTTCCTATATATATAGACTGTAGATTGTAATATATATAGAATACCGGACATACTGCCAGTTGTAATTTAAATAGAATAGAATAATTGCAAAATATTAACATAATATTAAGTAAAGGCAGTCTAATATGTACAAAATATCAGACTGTAATTAGTAAACTATAATTGAAATGACAGACTTCTAATTGTGCTGATGTCAAATACAATCATGCCAGTTAAATATTTGATGCATACCAGACTGCAAATGAATTTAATTTTAGAAAACCAAAGCAAATTTAAATATGCCTGATTAATAATTCTTTTTTAATATTTTTAAGTCGTAATTTTTCAACCCAAATCTTTTTATTCATAATCCTTATATTCTCCACCCTCTGTTAAGAACTTTACCGTAAAAATCGCTTAGTGTCAAGATTATTCCTGGTTGTCTGCACTCTGCATGTTGTAAAGTGCACTTTTTCAGTTTGTGGTTGAAATCTGGTTTAATTTATTTTAAGTAGTTTTCCTTAAGTTTCCGCAACATTACGTTCTACCGCCATAAACACGAAATTGAAGGATATACAAAGAAAACTCAGTATACCATATCTTCACGGGACAAACCCAGCCGGCCCTACAAGGGTTTTATATTGTTTAATTCATTCATCCTTAAAGGTGTGGAGGATCGGATATACCGGGGAATCTATCAGTCAGGTCAGTTTATGAGTAGAATTGTCATAAAACAAAATTACGATGTTGTCTCATTAATCGTTGAAGTCTCCAAACCATGTGGTTGTTGGTTTTAGCAACATTGCGTTGGTATTTCTGTTTATAAGTGATAGTTGTAATTAAACTAAAAACAATTAATCCAGCAACATAAACTATTTATATCACTGTTATTTTGGTTATACAGTTTTTTTTGGACAGAAAAGGCGAGAACCTTTAAGATATAGAGAAAATTTAACAACTTTTTAGCACGTCCGTGCCAAAATAATGGTGTTATTGGTAATTTTATGAAATGGTTCTGTACTTGTCTTATTTCAATGGCTGTTTCAAGATCAAATTAGCTTTGAAACAAAGGAGAAGTCAAAATATAAAGTTGATTTCAATTTTATTTTCATTGCAATTCAAAAAATATTTTGGAAATATCCTAAATTTTTGGGAAAAAAACCCGGGGACCAATTAAAACTTTAAAAGAAACGTGCTATAATGTACAGCTAATTCAACATTATAGCACGATAAATACTTCATAGGCTCATAGCACGTTAATTATGAAATTCACAATAGAGTGAGTAATAATGATAAAGTACACTATAGTTTCATAAAATATTTTAAATTGAGACTTTTTAAATGTTTCGCTAACTATATAAAAAAGTATAAAAATCTAAATGTTAAGGGATACGCCTCAACTAGTTATCCTGACATTTGATGATTCGGTGAATGATCTGAACAAACAGCTCTACCAGGATATATTCCACACTAGCAGGTTAAACATTTTTATACTCAATATAGTATTGGTTTCAGGGTTTAAGGGGGTATAATGAGGTTGAGGCGGGGAGTTATCTTTCAGGTCAATTATGTTCCAATTGTTGGACGGCACATAATTGATCTGACAATTATCAAGTAGTCAACCAGGACAAAAAGTAGTATCAAATGTTAAACTAAGTTTATTGTCCCGACCCAGAACCAGCCGGTACAATAAAGTGGGGTTGGAAAAAATGAAGGAGTTAGGATGTGGAAGGGAATTAATTGGTATATATAAAATAGTTATACGGCGTCAGATAAGCAGCTAGACTCAGTCGTACTTTGTTTTGAAAAAGACTTTTTATGGATTCTATACAATAAACTTAAAAAGTCGTGTCTGAATATTCAAATATTTTGAAAATGAAAGCTACATGACCAGTAAAACTATAGACATCTTTTTTATTTTATTCAAAATATCTACTGTGTCGGCTGATCTGTTAAATAAGCTAGTTTGTTAACCTTTGTTTTCAAATGCACCCAGTTCTAACCTTTGGAGAGCTAAGTATATGTCTAACAAAGGAATATAAAGGTTTAGATAACAAAGAGTAAAAACCGTATAATTAATATTAAATAATTAAAGGAAAAATCCTAATGGTTGCCCAATCTCTGCAACCTTCTACGTGTCCCACGAATGGACGGACTATGGTCTGGTCCAGTCCTTGTACTCGGACGGACACGAGATAGCTTCTCACAGTATCTCCCACAGCTTTGGGGAGCAGTTCTCCAGGACTAAGTGGTTGAAGGAGATGGCAGGACAGAGGGAGATACTCTCAGGTCAGTTCAACCTTAAACAACTAAGTTTTAAAGATTTAAAGGGACTATAAGCGTAATTTTAAGTTATTCTTCATTCGAAAAGTAGAGTGTCAAATTCACAAAGGTATCTTAAAACCTTTTCTGGTTTGAACATATCCATGTTTTGCTTTTCACCATGCCACTCTATACCTAAAGGGTCAATTGAGATCAGGTGTACAGTACATTTAAGTCTAAGTAAGATGGTTGCATGACAGAAAAGCATAAACTAATCAAAGTCTCATAAAAAGAAAAAGAAATATCACGAATATAAACTAGAACTATAACTTGAAACTGTAACTAGCTTATTTATTTAATTTTATGTCCTTTTCTGGGTTTACAAAAGGATTTTTATTATGTTGTAAAGGAGCTGTGTCTTTGTCACATACCCGAATTTTAAAATCCTTTTATCTTTGCAACCTGATGGTGAAAACCTTTGATATCTCAAACTTAGACTAGTTGATCTTACAGAATTCATGGTTTGAAATATCTAAGGTCTATGGCATTGGGTTACAAAAATATAGGGATTAGAAAACCAGACTTCAAGACCTAATTCCTTTCCCCTAAATTTTCTATTTATGTTTAAAGTTTATGAGGTCCGTTGCCCTAGATTTTATGGCTTCTGAAAGACAAACAGAAATGTTAATAAGTTTTTCAAACAACCCGAACATATCTACCAAGCTCTAGTTGGTTTACCGTGCACTGTGAGCTAATTAATAAAATAAGAATTTTAATAAACCCAAATCTGTCCGAAGTTGACTTCTAACAAATTGAATTTTAATTCGGAATGATCTAATACAGGAACCATTCAATTAATTAATTAATTAAACTGAGATTAATTACCACGCCCTTTCATTCAACCTCCAGGTGTACATGGTGTTATCTTGGATCCAATGGACCGTAATAGTAGTCCTGAGAACTACTTGGTTCCAATGGACCGTAATAGTAGTCCTGAGAACTACTTGGTTCCAATGGACCGTAATAAACAAGACTCACACAATATGTAAAAAAGGTTTGGGTGATGGAAGTATATAAATGCAGCTAAATTTAAACGGATCAAAGCTCAAAAGTACTTTTCAAACCACCTCTGTGCCTCTAGAACCAAAAGAATCTAGACTAACTGAATTAAGTGAGAATTAGTTAAACCATTCTCATTCATAAGTTTCAACCCTGGTCCCTCTGAAACCCTCTGGTCTGTAGATACACGATGAAACGTATGATTAGGGGACTATTATCCAATCTTATCTTTATCTTGTTGTATAGAATATTGGTATTCTGCCTACACAGATCAACCCCCAGACCATCAACTCTTAATATATACTCATATAGTATAAACATACACTTTACACTACACAGTTCAGGCGCGCAGTTGATGCCATCTACCTTAAGAGAAAAACATTAGAAAGGGATTATTAACTTTTTTCTTTGAATGCAGTCCTTTACTAAATCGATGATGATAATAACGTACTTAAAATCTAAAGAAACCGAGTATTCTCTCATAATTCTAATTTTTCAATCCCAATATCTTTGCATGCGTAAATCTATTGGTCTATGTGTTCTGCAATAAGTATGAAATATAAAAAGAGTTTACGTTCCTTTGTAAATTTTGTAAAGTCTTATTTAATAAATATTGCTAAACAATTAACTGAAACAATACAAAGATATGATTTTGTGAATAATGTTATAAAACATTTATTTCACTTTTATTGTGAATTTGTTTAGAATAGCATGAAAATTTGATTTAAAAATATTTTTCTGTTAGGGTTTGCTGGAATAAAGCTAGAGGATGTTCGAGGGATTCGAGCCCCATTCCTTGCTATAGGAGGGAACAATATGTTCTCAATGCTGTATGATGCCAACTTTACATATGATTCAAGTATGCCAATTTATGAGAACAGACCTCCGTCCTATCCCTACACCCTGGATTACAAGATATCTCATGATTGTATGATACCACCTTGTCCTAACAAGGCATATCCAGGAGTATGGGAGATTCCACTTGTCATGTGGAATGATCTAAAGGTGAGCCAAGTTTAATAAGCATTTTAATGTTTGCCAAAACATTTTTAAGAAAATAAGAGACTTTTAGGTATAATAACAAGTATTCTAAAGCTGAGGCAACCTTTTTATCTTTTCTTTAAAACGAAATTTACCAGTTTCTTTTTTCAAAAAAGATCTGGTAAGTAAACGTACAGTAATATCCTGTCTACGGACCGGAAGTAAATGTACAGTAATATCCCGTCTACGGACCGGAAGTAAATGTACAGTAATATTCCGTCTACGGACCGAAAGTAAATGTACAGTAATATCCCGTGTACGAACCGGAAGTAAATGTACAGTAATATCCCGTCTACGGACCGGAAGTAAATGTACAGTAATATCCCGTGTACGGACCGGAAGTAAATGTACAGTAATATCCCGTCAACGGACCGGAAGTACATGTACAGTAATATCCCGTCTACGGACCGTAAGTAAATGTACAGTAATATCCCGTCAACGGACCGGAAGTACATGTAGAGTAATATCCCGTCTACGTGCCGAAAGTACATGTATAGTAATATCCCGTCTACGGACCGGAAGTAAATGTATAGTAATATCCCGTCTACGGACTGATGATGAAGGAAAACTTCTAGGGTCGATCTATTAATGAAATAGATAGTGTACAGTACTTATTATAAGTTATATACTTTTTCAAGTTTCATGTGATTCATGTGCTGTCAAAAATAAATAGAATAATATACAAATTATGGCATCTTTTTCACCTGTATCTAGAGTATTTTTTTTATTCAGAAAGGAAGTGATCACTGCCCTTAATCTTTTATTTTCTGATCCCGATATCTTTGTATCCTAATGTTATAAACATTTGATATTTAAAAGTGGGTCTTTGTGATCAAGCAAACTTAATAGCTTGAGACTTCAGAGACGACTGTACGGAATTTATACTGTCTATTTCCTCATATTTATTATACCCTGCAACTATAAAATTGTGTATTTCTTTGTAAAATCATTAAATACGCCATTTAAAGACTATTCTAAAAGCAGCAGACTTACTGTAACAGCAAGTCGTCTTTTCAGTCTCATCTTTTGTAGATAACCCTATAATATCAACGGCTTACAACGTCAGGTTGCAAAGTTATTGGGACTAGAAAATAAGAGTTTGGGGAGAGTGATCAGTTCTTTTTAAACCTTAGACAAATTCTCAATCTCTGTGTATAAATTAATTATGAAAACGTAATATAATCATATATCTCGAGGTAGACTAATTCAGATTAGCGTAGACGTCATTTGGTGCACTCATATTTCATACCTTCAACTCAATAAAGTACATGTGTAATTAACTTCTACCATTATCTTTATATCTTTATCCATTAACTTTATATAACTATCTATCTGTACATCTATCTATTTATTTATATATGTATATATGAAAGATACTTTAAACATTTTACATTTTTTATTTCATGATACCAAGTCTGCATGCATACTTTGTAATTTGGAATTATATTCTCATCTATTAGTCTAACTTTTTCACTGTCTCGTTTGTCTAGCTATGTAGCTAACTTGCTATTTAATAATGAGACTGCACTAAACTATCCAGCAAGAAATTAGAAAATTAAGTAATTTAGCAAATAATACAAGAACGCAATTTCATGATTTAAAGGGTGAAAAAGTGACAAAAAAAGACAATGTTTTGAAACGTTGCTTTTAATACTTTAAATACTATAAAAACATGTATCAAAACACATATTTAAACTTACAGTCCAGGTATTTTGAAAGTGCAACTGCGAACTGCACTTGTGCATTCAAAGTTTGTTTTATTTACAAAAAATCGTGAAGACCAATTACCATTGTTCGTAGGTTTTTATTCAATATATTTCCATTTGTCACAGGACAATCCAGACACTACACTTACACCTCAAGTTTTTGTAGAACCCCCGGTAACAATGTCCAATTGTAAAATCATTGCAAATAATTAAAGTGTTGTGACATTTTGAAACAGTGCACAGAGAACTATGATGCCAAGTGTGAACAAGTGCAGGGATTCCAGATAAAAGCGTGAAATAGAGTGAGGATTTAAAACCTGTGTCTCTAAATATTTAATATTTTAGGTTTACCAAAGGTTCTACGTAAGTCAACAAAGAGTTTAAAATGTCCAAAAAAGCTGTTAAATAGAAAGCTGACCTTAAGCTATACTTTGTGTATTTGATTATGTTCTAAACTGGAAACTTTCAACTTTTTAAAAAAATGTGTCTGTGCACACTGCACAATATCTTTATGTTATGTCAAAATCATAACTTGATTCTGACAGTTGTTTTCCTATTTCAAATGTGATGGTCCAAATTATTTTCGTCAGGACACCCTGTGGTAAATCTCAGAAAAATCCTACCCAACACGTTATAAAACACTTTATCCAAAAGTGAATCTAAAAAATCCTGAATTCAATACGTTGCATGCATGTGCAGTGTACAGTGTGCACAAAAGTAGAATTTAAGTTTTGAAATTTGAAAAGGGGAGTTTGCAAAATTCGGATCGGTTGAATTTTTGTATACTTTTCTACAATTTGATCAAATCTATCTGGAAAGGAATTGAGTCTTTAACACAAACCTCTAATTTTCTAATCCCTATTTCTCTGAAACCTGATAGTGTAAACCTTTGAATTTAGATTATTTGAACTAACAGAACTCATAGATTGAAATATCTATGGTCTTCAACATTTGGTTGCAAAGATATAGGGAATAGAAAATCAGAGTTTGTGACAATGACTCATATCCTTTGTTTATCATGGGTCCGTGGAAGCTTGTTCTTTTCACAATCTCTAATTTTCTAAATCTTAGAAACCTGATGGTGTGAATCTTAGATTCCAATTTGGGACTATTTGATGTAAATAATGGTCAAAATATGAAATAACAAAGTTCTACGACGTTAGTTTGCAAAGATAGAGGGATTACAAATTTCGAGGTTGTGACTTGTTTACGTTATTTTTTTTCACAGAAACATAATTTTGAAATTTATTATGATCAATTCATAAATTCATTACACTCCAGTCTGTGTTCCCGAACACTCCCTTTAAAGGGTCTGTCTACGTAATCTCAAGTGACCCACCATACAAATGTTACTTTTTATTTCACAATGGTACCTTTTAAACGTCTGTTTGAGCAAACTGATAGAGATATCCTTGTTTTCTAACTAAAAATTAGAAATCATTTAAATTTCGGTTTCCATATAAAAATAGTTGAATAAAATTGAAATTTCGTATACAGTTCCTTTAACCAAGTGGATAAATGTGTGTATATAATCACTGAATAATGTAACAAATACAACTTGTATTATATCCTTCCTTCCTTCATACATAATTGATCAGAAATAATTGACAGATGTACTAAACGTACTAAACTTTACATTGTATGCGTTTAGTTATCATCAATTTATTTCATACATTGTAATAGTATTCATTGACTTTGTTCATACATTTATTATCCTTTTTGTATTTTTTATGGATTCAATTACTTTTTAAATTTTAAATTTTTTTGTATCATAAAATTCTGCATATAATTGCCCTTATCTATCTTTCTATACCTATTAATCTGTCTATATTTGTATATCAATCCATCTATTTATACAGGGTGAGTCAAAAAAAGTGTGATTTGCGGCGCCTGGTGAAATATTGTACCTTCTTTTGTGCAACTCTCCTGTAAGGTGTTTTTTCAATATTTTTTAAAAATTTGTAATTTTTTTGTTACTTCAATGGCCCAAAAAAAATCCGCGAAACTTTTTTTTCTTTCAAACTGAAAAGCTCAGAAAAACAAAAATGTATAAATATATTGTTTCTATCGAAATCTAAAATTTTAAAAAGATTGAATCACAGAATCTCAGAAAATTTGCATAATTGTAATTAGCAAATTCGCAATTTTCAGTTCTGGTATAATTTTTGCGAAAAAATTGTTTTTCAATGGTTCTTAAGGTTTCCACTGAACAGCGTATATTTAATACTTCAGAATATGCTAAGAAGAAAGAAACTAGAGAATTTAAATAACTTTTCATTAAAACTTACACCAGAACTAAAAATTGGGAATTTTCTTTTTACAATTTTGCGAATTTTCTGTGATTCTTTGATTCAATCTTTAAAAAGTTTTAGATTTCGATAGAAATAATTTATATGCACATTTTTGCTTTTCTGAACTTTTAATTTTGAGAGAAAAAAAGGTTCGCGGATTTTCTTTTGGGCCATTGGAGTACCAAAAAAAATACAAATTTTCAAAAAATATTGAAAAAACACCATGCAGGAGAGTTGCACAAAAAAGTACAATTTTGCACCAGGCGCCGCAACCACGTCTTATCTAATTATCCCCGGCATCGATCAATCAAGGCCCGAAGGTGGAGTAATGATACTAATCCAAGGAACTGGGAGATTAATCGAGCCAAAACTTGAGATAAAACATTATGTTTATGTAGAGATATAATATCTTCATCCGCCCACTATATAATGGCAGATAGGAAGGCTATAAGCCAGACAAAAAAATGGCGGATAGGGGGAAGGAAAACAGGAAAATGAAAGAGTTAGACATAGAAGGCAGTTTGCATGGAGATATGAAGATAATGTGCATAGGAAAGATGGGAAGATGGGAAGATATTGTTCATAGGAAAGATGGGACGATAATGTGCATAAGGAAGATGGGAAGATATTGTTCATAGGAAATATGGGAAGATAATGTACATAAGGAAGATGGGAAGATATTGTGCATAGGAAAGATGGGAAAATAATCTGCATAAGGAAGATGGGAAGATAATGTGCATAAGGAAGATGGGAAGATATTCCGCATAGGCAAGATGGGAAGATATTTTGCATATGAAGAATGGCAAAATGGGAAGAAACGTGAGTCAAGGAAAACAAGTGTTTGGACAGGACGTAAACTGCTATAAAGTATAAATATTAAATACAATATTGCACCAATCTATGCAGAAGCAGGACATTTAATTTGCGCCAGACAACCTCTTAAAATGCATTTGTCTTGTGTTTCATGTTGAGAATAGACAAAAAGAATATATTCTGATAATCTTTTAATTTACAAAAATTGTATCAATTGTAGCTTGCATTGATTTATAATTTGAATTTATAATTAGTTTTCCTGTTCATAAATTTATCCTTGAATCCTGTAATCCCGCAATATATTTAGATGTCGTCTTTGTTACAGTGAGTATTTCGGAAAGAAAACAAATATTTTATATCAAAAGTACAAGAAAGCACAGCGGTTTCGGAATAATCTAACTATATAAAACGATTCTAACAGCCATATAGAAAAGATTTAGGGGCTCCAGCAGCATTCCAAATCCTTAATTTAGTCAGAGTAGCATGTTGAAAAATCCTGCTTTAAGAGTTTCCCTTATTTGACATTATTCAGAGGTTTATGGAATAAATTAAATTTGGCTGACCCTCCCCTAATACCCCACTGTGGGGGGGGGGGGAATTACTTATTCAGGAAGATTGAAAAAAAGAACTTGAAATCAGGGAATAATTTATAAAAAAATACAAATATGAGGATTTATCAAGGGTTTACCTCCCGTTGAAAAACTCCTAATGTCGAAGTCTGCAAGACAGACAGATAAGCTGTTTATTAGACAGTTGAGTGGTGTATTGGACAGATAATTAGACAGATAATTTGACTGTTGACACTTCCACCAACATCAAGCTTCAAACTGTATTCAAAGACAAGAGATATACAAGAGATAGACAAGGGAGTAGAGAAAACACTTTTACGTTTTTACCACGTTTTGACGTTTTGTGATTTCGACGTTAGACGTTTTGCAGGTTTTTTCTCATTTTTTTAAGCAGTTCTGTTTGGAATGTTGTTTTAGGGGCCGGGGGTTTTCGTACGTAGTTTCTTGATTAGTTTAATGTATCATTACATGTACATATTATTTAGGCGTGTACTACATGATTATGAAAAACTTCCAACGGCACTACAGTACAAATAGATCACCATTTGGCCTATCCTACCATCCAGCCTGGTAAGTGTTTAATTACTTAATCCATGCTTTGTAAAAATAATATTTTAGTATTTATATATTTATATATATATTTGATTCAACAATATGCAAAAGATTTGCATATCATTCATTCATTTTTACGCTGTATAATTTGACGCTAAAAATTGAACGCTTAAATCTTTAAAATTTAACACTTCCGTTTTGGATTTGGGTTTAAGCGATTATTGATTTATTCATCTAATTAAATGAATTATGTGTGCGATATTTTCCAGAAAACTTCTCTTATAAAATAACATAGGAACTATTATCGGCCTCCTGGCCAACATTAAATAAATAAATTGGGTTCCAACAGCGTCTATTTGTATAATATAAACGATTTCTCATTACAAAACAATTTTATTGGTTTAACAGCAGAACGTGCTGAACATTAATCAGCTGATAACTGTAACTATTTATTCAGCTTATTAATTATAAAATAATTACTAAACCCGCTGATTAATTATCAAACAATTTTTAAACCACGCTGATAAATTATCAACAAAAAATTTGCACTATCTGACAATCGATCGAACTTTAAAGGCTTATTTATTAAACCAGCAAAAGGGTTTTGAAAATTTCTTTACAGCTAAAGAATATATTCCTTTTAAACTTTAAAGGTTCGACTCGTTTGATCTTTTGTTTGCAGTGTTGTTTAGTGTTGCTTATGTTCTTATCTGACCATATGTTTTATATTTATTCTATCATATCGTGAGCCCATCATAAAAGAGATAAGAAAAATAATCAAAAAGAATAAAGAAGGAAACAGAAGACATATGATCGAATAAAAGATGGCTTATAAAGAATGATTGACAGTTTCAAATCATCAAACAAACGTTTCTATTCATTTTAAACACAGATGGACAAAAACACCGCTATAGAGAGTTCAATAGATATATTGACAGATTAATAGCAGGCTGGGGTCAATCAAATCAAATCTACGATTCAGATAAATTTTCCCTGGAACTGTTAGTTTTTATAAACTACGTTTGGTTTGTGTATGTCCGATCATAACACATAAACCCTCCAGTCCGATTTGGAATAAGTTTTGGTTGGGGAACTAGGAAGAACTACTGGAAACTTTTAGTTTCGTTTGAAGATTCTAAGTTGAGTGGGTTGACTTTATAGGGAAAGGTTAGTTTCCAGGAAAAGTTGGGTTCCCAGGGCTAGGATTCATATATATGTATATATGAGATAGAGAAGTACTTTGATCATAAGGTAGGTAGATATTTAGATATATTGTCTAACATTAAGAAAAATCGCCATGTCCATAACAGTTTATATGATCAGAAGAACATTGAATATTGAAGATAAATGAATGGTCAACCCTTGCATGTCTGGCCGCCCTTGGTATTCCTCTTTAATCTAATTTATCAATAGTTCAAGTGTTCTTCCATTCTTTCATGATTCAAATGATAGAGAGATATCAGGAAAGATATATATATATAGATTGAAAGATATAAGAATGAAAATGAAAGATATGTTCTCAGAATTGAAAGAGATATTATAGAAAATGAAAGATAAATTCTAGTAAGCGAAAAAATATCTATCAGGAAATGGAAAGATGTATTCCAGGAAATGGAAAGATATATTTTAGGAAATGGAAAGATATATTCTAGGAGATGAAAAGATATATTTTAGGAAATGAAAGATATATTCTAGGAAATAGAAAGATATACTCTTGGAAATGAAAGATAAATTCTAGTAAGTAGAAAGATATCTTCTAGGAAATGAAAAGGTATATTCTAGGAGATGAAAAGATATATTTTATGAAATGAAAGATATATTCTAGGAAATGGAAAGATATATTCAAGGAAATGAAAAGATATGTTCTAGGAGATGAAAAGATATATTTTAGAAAATGAAAGATTTATTCTAGGAAATGGAAAGATATACTCTTGGAAATGAAAGATAAATTCTAGTAAGTAGAAAGATATCTTCTAGGAAATGAAAAGGTATATTCTAGGAAATGAAAAGATATATTCAAGGAAATGAAAAGATATATTCTAGGAAATGAAAAGATATATTCTAGGAAATGAAAAGATATATTCAAGGAAATGAAAAGATATATTCTAGGAAATGGAAAGATATATTCTAAGAAATGAAAAGATATATTCAAGGAAGTGAAAAGATATATTCTAGGAAATGAAAAGATATATTCTAAGAAATGAAAAGATATATTCAAGGAAATGAAAAGATATATTCTAGGAAATGAAAAGATATATTCTAGGAGATGAAAAGATATATTTTATGAAATGAAAGATATATTCTAGGAAATGGAAAGATATATTTAAGGAAATGAAAAGATATATTCTAGGAGATGAAAAGATGTATTTTAGAAAATGAAAGATATATTCTAGGAAATGGAAAGATATACTCTTGGAAATGAAAGATAAATTCTAGTAAGTAGAAAGATATCTTCTAGGAAATGAAAAGGTATATTCTAGAGGAAATGAAAAGATATATTCAAGGAAATGAAAAGATATATTCAAGGAAATGAAAAGATATATTCAAGGAAATGAAAAGATATATCCAAGGAAATGAAAAGATAAATTCAAGTAAGTGGAAAGATATCTTCTGCAGGATATGGAAAGATGTATTCCAGGAAATTGAAAGATATGTTCCAGGGAATGGAAAGATATATTCTATGAAATGAAAGATTAATTCTAGTAAGTGGAAAGATATCTTCTAGGAAATGAAAAGGTATATTCTAGAAAATAAGAGATAAATTCTAGGAAATGGAAAGATATATTCTAGGAAATGAAAGATAAATTCTAGTAAGTGGAAACTTATCTTCCAGGAAATGGAAAAATATCTTCTAGGAAAAGAAAAGATATATTCTAGGAAATGGAAAGATATATTCTAGGAAATGAAAAGATATATCCTCGGAATGAAAAGATATATCCTCGGAAAGAAAAGATGTATCTAGAAATGGAAATATATATTCTTGTGATTGAAAGATATATTCTATGGGAAAAAATATATATACCCTGGGACCGAATTTAATGAATTTGAACTGCCTACCACCGGTTCGAATCCTTAATCTTCAAATCGGTGGTTCAAATTTGAACCGGCGCAGGTGCTTCAGCGACGTAGCTAAGATTCGGTCCCTGAATAGTAAGGATATACTCTAGGAAATGGAAAAACAAATTCTATGAAATGGAAAGGTCGGATGTAAAGTATAATTATAGCATGAAGGACTAGTGTCCCCAGTGCTCTGGTTTACCATGATATTTAAGAAGAACGTGTCTCTCTCTTTCTCTAAACCTTGATCTTTCTCAGTTACTCACCACTCGAACTCAAAGATCACATTCCTTAACAGCAAACTAATCTTTGTCACATTCTATACCGATAGTTTTCATACCATTCAACAAAATATTACGAAAACATCCCCCCCCCCTTTGAGAAGATCTTTCAACTTCCCCCTGGTTTAACAGCANATATTGACCCTCCCCCCCCCTTTTATCCCCTTGGGTGAACATATTGTATACACCTTTTTGCAACACACGTCCATTGAATTAAATTTTGTTTTGATTAATTTTGCGCATGTATGGGGCTTGGAAAGGCTATAAAGGCCTGAATAGGGTTGAAAAGGGTAACAAATGAGGTTTCTGTGGTGTCAAAGGTCTCTAAAGAGTGAGAGGGTTTAAAAAACATTTCTCGGGGCTGATTCGAGGAGTATTATACAGGCCCAGGGTTGAGTTTAATATTTGAATAAAAATGATGGTTTTATGCCCTGGATATATATATATCTATATATCTAGGGGTATCTTCATACAATATGTTTGATTTATTACGCGTTAACTACTTTACTCCCCTCTACGCTATTCTACGATTCTCAGCACTTTTATGCACTCCCCTTCACATCTTTACCGTTCTCTACAACGCTTATTTTTTCCTTAAACTCCCCTATACTTCTCTTTACTTCCCTGCACTTCGCTTTACTCCCCTGCACTTCTCTTTACTCCCCTGCACTTCTCTTTAATCCCCTACACTTCTCTTTACTCCCCTACACTTCTCTTTACTCCCCTACACTTCTCTTTACTCCCCTACACTTCTCTTTAATCCCCTACACTTCTCTTTACTCCCCTACACTTCTCTTTAATCCCCTACACTTCTCTTTACTCCCCTACACTTCTCTTTACTCCCCTACACTTCTCTTTACTCCCCTACACTTCTCTTTACTCCCCTGCACTTCTCTTTACTCCCCTACACTTTTCTACTTTTCTCAACACTCCTTCAACACATCTCTTCACTTCACTCTACACTACTATACACTTCTTTACACTTTGCACTACTTTACAATTACACTTATTAACTTTCGTACGTTTATCTCCACTCCTCTACACTTTTTTGAACTCTTCAACACTTCTCTACATTCCTCTGCATTTCTTTACACTCCTCTACACATCTTTACCTCTACAGTTCTTTACACTCCTCTACTCACCTCTACACATCTTTACACCCCTCTTATTTTTTACACTCCTCTAAACCTCTTCACACTCCCCTTCACTTCTTTATACTCCTCTACGCTTCTTTACCCTGCTCTACACTCCTCTATATACAATGTATGAGCTAATCTGTATATGCATATATTACTGATGTATGAAGTATGTTTGTATTGAATATTATCTGAAGTATACTAGTTGTGCTGGTCTATGAAAGACTACGAAATCAATCCTAGATGAAACAAGTTTTGTTTTAGATTAGATTCATCTTCATCTTGTCTCAAACCATCACGCACATTCATGATGCGCCCCCCCACCCCCATCCATAAGCTACTATGATACATATAAACACAGAGTAGAAATATAAATAAAGACTTAAAGAAGAAGAGGGTTAGATTTATTTCCACTCTATAAATTATCTGCTGTACTAGTAATCAAACAAAGGCTGAGTTTTTGCCACACATTTTCTAATTCTATATCTTTGCAACCTTTAATATTTCAAACTTAGATCATTTGATCTAGCAGAATTCGCAGTTTAAAATATCAAAGGTCTATGAAATTGAATTGCAAAGCTGTAGGGATTATAAAATCAGAATTTGTTGCAAAAACTCAATTTCTTTCCAGTAATATCATTAATAAAGACATTAAAGGTATAATTTTGGATGGTTGATGGCATGCACTCTTGATGGTGGTAACTTTGTTGGATTGTGTTAACAGTCCCTTTACGCCGTAACTTTTAGATTGTTCTGGACAATTTATTGAAAACAGTCGTCCACACTAGACGAACTATTGTGTTTCTACAAGTCCCCTGGACTACTGACCTTGTGAACCAAAATTCTAACCGACCCAACTAGTCTTTATACTAAATAAATGTAATTCTTGAAAATCCTCCAAATTTGATAAATTAATGCAGTAGGCAGATATAGGAGGCTCAGGATATATGGTGTATGGATATAAACAGATAGATAGATAGGAAGATATATAGACAGATATAGACAGATACAGATTGAAGAAAGAAAAGAATAATTCAACTGCTCGTCGTATACACAAGTATACACTATCATCTTTTTACAATAAATGATGAACCCTCGGCCTTATAGAGAGGTAGTCAATGCTCAGTGCTCATACTTAAAGGGAGAATTCGACCATTTCAGATTTTTCTAGATTTTTTTACTGTCGTGGGTTTGTGATATAAGGATATGCTTCCTGGAGCTGGCAAATGGTTACGTTGAGGCTTTAGAAGTTAAACCTGGACGGTACACCAAATGAATAATTCCCTTTTAGTTAAACTCTTCTGTACATTTTTATTTTTTGCACACTCTCCCTTTCAAAATGGCCATTAAAACTTTTGTAAATATGTTTCATATGAATGTTGAGGAACATCCCCTTTAACTTTGGTCTAGATATTAAAATTCAAGACTAAGAATATTTCATTGAAAGAAAAAGTTAGTTTTGCCGTCTGTGCCATATTGATATCATGCAATTGATTGAGGCCTCAGCTTCAATGTTCCCATCGCGAAAATATTTAATGTTTATATTTTCATAAATATTTTATAGAACTAATTTTAAAAATATTGATTTGTTTTGTTAAGCGTATTTTAGTATGTATATAATTTTCCGTCTCCTTGAGATACTATTTTGAAGTCGTCTTTAGAAAATGTTCAAAGGTGAAGAATTTGTAAAATATTTCCTGATTTTCTGACCATTCATATCAAACATCTCTTTCAANCCCCCCCCTCAACCCAAACTGTGAACAGATCATCATAGAATTTTACAGCAAAAATAAAATTGAACATTTTTATCCTGAACTGAAAAAACTATAAAACAAAACCAAGCTTATGCTCAATATGACACCGTCTGTTTTGCTAAAAATACAGGGTTATCAACAAAAATGAGACTTCAGCGATGACTGTACGTTTCTATCCTTTTTCTTAACATTCATGGTTCCCTGCAACTGTAAATTTGGACTTTCTTAGTCAAATATACTTGTGCATACGTTAAAATCTATTTTAAAGGAAAAGATACAATTACAGCCTAGGGATCGTCCTACTTAAAGAGTTTATAAGGCGTTATTACAGTCTCATTTTTTGTGGACAACCCTGTATGATGGAAGATGTCCATAGATGATATCTTTATAAAACTCTGAACTGTTTTTAATCTTCAAATATTTGTTGGGCCTGAAATTACCATAAAAAGACATCTTGACAAATGCCGCCAGCAATCTGGGGGGGGGGGTAAAAAAACTTTAACTTAAACTTTTTTGTTTGCATAGATTTAATATAAAACGATAAATAACATTTTTTTTAAATGTTGTTGATTCATCCCTGTTTCCTGTATTCATTTACCTGTCAATAAACTACTGAAACCTTTGATTGATAGATAGATAAATATAAACCAGATTTATGAATGAATTAATGAATATTCAAATTATTGGATTCCAGAAGTCTAAAATTCATGAAAAAAGGAAGAGTACTTTAAAGATTAAATAAATAAATAATTCCATGAAAGAAAAGAATATTCTTTGAAATGGATATATGAGGTGAAGAGACGGGGGGATTCCTTTTCCCTCTGAACCCCTTACCTGCTACTTTTTATAGCCATTTTTAAAATTCCATCTTATTAGAATAAACATTGTCCTAATTATATTCTTCATGGACTGTAAAACGTATTAAAAAAATTATTATAAAAAGCACTTTAAATAAAATTATTTAAATGTCAAAATAAGATTGAAAAAAATAAGGTGTGCTTATCAAAATTTCAATTTTTAATATTTGACATATTACATTTTATTGTATTAGTAGAGGTACAAATTTTAGAGAAATATCAATAATTACTGAATTACTTGATTTTTTGAATTCAAGCAATTTAGTATAAATTTTTTTTTATTTTAGGTTTACTACTCCTCATCATAAAGAAGGGTTTGATCTATTCTTGGATACAATAATATCTATGGAAGATGTCTGGGTGGTGACAGCATGGCAGGCGATACAGTGGATGAGAGATCCTACACCGATACAGAACATTGATACATTTAAACCCTTCCAGTGTGTATACAAGGTATATATATAAATACAGAACATTGATACATTTAAACCCTTCCAGTGTGTATACAAGGTATATATATATACAGAACATTGATACATTAAAACTCTTCCAGTGTGTATACAAGGTATATTATATATATACAGAACATTGATACATTTAAACTCTTCCAGTGTGTATACAAGGTATATTATAAATATATACAGAACATTGATACATCTAAACCCTTCCAGTGTGTATACAAGGTATATCATATATATATATACAGAACATTGATACATTAAAACTCTTTCAGTGTGTATACAAGATAAATATATATAGAATAATAACTCTGTATTTGTTTACAGGAGAGACCGCCTAGATGTGAGAAACCAAAAGTTTGCAACCTGTGGCATAAATCAGGAGTTAGGTTAGTGTAAATCATAAAATTGATAATTATGATGTTAAAATTGATAATTTTCAAGCTAACGATAATAAAGAGAAAATAACATTGAAAAAACCGATTAACAACATTATACATTTATTTGAGCAACAATGAGGAAGATATCTTCGTTTTTTATCTTAAAGCATGTTAATTCCGACAACTTCTTGCATTCTCTCTGGAATTTAAATCTGCAATTGAAAACAATTTATTTTCTGGTAGAAAATAAAAATATCTCATTCATGTCTTCATCAGAAAATAAACTGATAGGATACTGTCTTAAATCGGATTTAGTCTCCATTCCTTTACCCCCACCCCCCGCCCCCTAAAAAAATATTAAAGATGAAATAATTGTAGGTATATGCGAACCTGCCAAGAGTGTCCTGATATCTACCCCTGGACCGGAAGGACAGGAATTGCAAACAGTCGAGTTGATCCGCTTTAAAATCTCAATCCGTCCCGGAAAAATCTGAACCAGACTGATTTCAATATTTTGTCTGTTCCCATCTTCTAAGACAGTTTTTATTGTTATTTTGTACTCTGTTCAGAATTGTTTCTCAGGACCTAAAACTGAAATAATAAAATTCCTTTGGGTCCCTAATAATGTAAAAAAATGTTAGGACCTAGCCATGCATCTCTAAACTAAAGGAATAAAAAGTGCCAATCATTTTTTAAGCCCTCTGTTTTGTCAGACCCTAGGTTTTCAGTGATTTGTCGAATCTGAAAAATGTGAAAAAATCGATTTATCATCTTGCTGACCAGACATTCACTGTATAAGGATGATTAATAATTTTTTAACAAGAATTCTTAATCGATAATTTTCACAAAATTAAGAAAATCTTTGGTTTTCAAGTCAATATTGTTTATTTATGTTATCATATATATATATGTACAGGGTGGTCTTGTATTTATACCCCTTTTCTAGTCTTTTATTTAATTTTGTCACGTATGGTTGTTTATTATGTTTTGTGTTTCTGTATTATATATTTGTACCTGTCAAAACTTAAATAAATTCTTATTTTTTTCCTGCCATAAATTTGTATGACGGCCCACCCTCCACAAAAACCCACTATGTCTTCGGTCAGTATACTTCAGATCACTGCAGAACACACCTAAGGCTTTGTTTATTATGTTTATGATGTTTAGGATGTTTAGGATGGGCCCAAATGTTAAGTTTTAATTGATGAATCTTGAATAGTTTCAAAATTTATTTTTAATCTTAGGAGAGATAATTTGTGTTTTCTCCACTTTTCAAGTAAAATAAAAACTCTCGTAACAACTAAAAATATTTAGGTTGCATCTTGACATCCTAAATCATGGTAAACCAGATACGTGTTTACATATGAACATGTTTTGTACATATGAACATGTTTTGTACATATGAACATGTTTTGTACATATGAACATGTTTTGTACATATGAACATGTTTTGTAAATATAAACATGTTTTGTACATGTTTTTTGGCATTCAAGTTACCCTAAAATAAAAGAGCACAGAAATTTAATTTAATGAATTTGATCTACGTCGCTCAACTATTTGAATCGGCGATTCGAATTTGAACCAGCGGTAGCAGTTAAAATTAATTTAATTCGATCCCTGCAAGACTACAACATTCAAACTTGGAAATACATGTCAATCTTACTTGGAGACCCAGCTTTGCCTGTATGGAGATCTAAACAATTTTCAAACCAAGCTGAGAACATTCCCAAGGTTCCAACAAGCTTTCTTAATTAGAATTTGAGGCTAATCAGTCAAAGGGTCAAGGTATATAATTGAATATACAAAGAACCAACTTTAATAACTCACTGGTAGAGCTATGCGCTTTGTAACAACATCAAACGCACTTCAGTATTGTTTTAATGTCGTCCACCTATTCTACAGTTTTCTAGTTATCATTGTATTATTTATGTATAGTTTCAAAATAGGAAAAATACTGTCTGTCCTATAAAATCATGTTTTTTACTACAGAGTTACCCACAAAGGATACGACTACAAAGACGACCGAAAACTCTGAAACTATGACGATTCGAAGTTCAAATGTACGTAGTATTTTAATGATTTGTCAAAATAAGAAACCAGTTTACAGTTGCAGGTAATCATGAATATAAAAACAGTTGTCTCTGAAGTCTCATATTGTAAATTAATGATCGAAAACAGAATTGATCTTAGCTTGTTTTACTTTCTACTTGAGACAATCTTTTTCTTCGTTTCTATAAACGGAACTTTTAACTTTAATTAAAGGGACTGTACAGGAAAATGAAAGGGGTATAGGCTGAAACCTGAGAATCTGAGAAATTTAACGATATATAAAAGACATCTATCTAATGTTCCTGTCTCGAGAAATTGATATAAAACTGTGTCAAAATTATACCAAAACGTATATATATCAGATTTTGTATAATATTCGTAGTATTAAACAGATCAAAATTCAACAATTGCGCAGCCAATATAAAAACGACGATTTTCCAGAGGAGCCTGAGAAACTCAGATTTGCTCGTGTTATAAGTTTATAATTTAAATTAAATACTTTTTATACGTCCGTATTACGTAACCAGAACTCCCACCAATGGCAGTGCAGTATACTGGTCACGTGATACAGACGTAGACACGTGAAAATTATTTATATAACAGTGTTATTTCCTTTTCTAACTGATTTTTCTAAGAATCTGATATAACGTTTTTTCCACTGTCACTGTAAACTTTACTGAAACATAAAGAAATAAAAATAGAACCAATTCATTCCAAATCTTATTATGTCTACTGTCTACCCCCTTTTATATTTTAGCCAACATTTCCTTTCTGAATAAATCATTAAGAATTTATATAATCCTGACCACTAAACCAAATAATTTGGTTAAACCTTGGTTTTTATAAAAAAATGTATTTTAATAAAAACCTGAATATGTGGAGCATATCCCTAGATGTCTACTGTATTGGAAGTCAAGGCAAATTTAAGGTCATTGGTTTGAGGATATAGGCCTGACAGGGCCATGCCACTGAACTAGGAAGTACTGAGAAATCAAGAACATATATTCTCACACTAAACCACACACAAACATACACTATAGATATACATTATTGGATGCACTAGCGCTTAGGGAAGTTAATTTAAAGATTACACATGCATGTGAATTCAAATATTAAATGCAGGTTAAATACAGAGAGTTTCAAAGAACATAAAACTTTGAATCTTTAACAATCATTGTAGTTGTTTATATATGCTGGTGAATAACTTTAAGACGTATTCTGTAATATTTGAAAATAAAGGAACTGATTACTTGCCACAAACTCTAACTTTATACTTCCTATATATTTTGGGTCAGAAGGTGTAAACCTTTCATATTTCAAACTTTAAATCCAAAAGAATTCATAGTTTGAAATATCTAAGGTCCTTGAGATAGGATAAGAATGTTAAAATTTACAGAAAGCAGAGCTAGCTAGTTCCTTTTATTGAGAGCCAACGATTAAATACCTTATAGTTGAAACTGGATTTGTGATTGGTTTTAAAGGTTAATTTCTTTGTAGCAAGAGCCCCAAAATAGAATTTTTCTTTGAAAGAATTCATAACTCATTACTGAACAAAGATATAACAGATAGGAGAAGAGGGATGACTACAGTGAGAAACAACTTTTGTACGTATACAATACATGGTATACAATATTTTGATCGTCAAAACACCCTTTTTCCTCCGAGTTTATATTAATAGCATAATACTAAAAATAATGAAAATACTATAGAAACTAACTAAATTAAATGGTTGCAAAAAATAAATGTACGGGTCGGGTCTTAAAGAAACGCTAGATGTTTTTACTAAAAAATGAAATCCTATTTTTTATATTTTTGACATTTCACTCTGGCATTATTTTTAATAAAAAATGAAATCCTATTTTTTTATATTTTTGACATCTCACTCTGGTATTATTTACTAATTTCTTAATATCCCGCCCCCCGCTCCTCGCAAAGATTTGACGCACCATACTGATTGTTCCTGGTGCGTTTACCTTGCTTAAAAACGTCCCTCCATGGTCTTTTTTATACAAAATATATTGCTCTAAAATTAAAACACGTATCTAATATTTTACGTTAATGTATTTTTTTATCTAAAAATGTACAATGCATCACAAAACAATCATGCTTATTTTATTTTATTATTATACAAAGATATTGTAAAGTGCAGAGGGCACGAGAAATATAAAAATGTTTTAACAAAAGATTGTTTTCTGTTTAGAGTTTGTATTTATTTATGAATTGTTCCCACGATAAATTTGTATGGAGTGATTTAAAAAAATATTTTAGAAAACTTTTATTTCGAAAACAATTCTTTAAAACGAGTAGAGCGGTGTGTATTGTATAAATAATGTTAACGTGCATTGAAATTAGGAGGATATTATAAAATATAATTATATTTAGATTTTAAAATTTTATAGCCAGACAATCTCTAATACAGGAAAGTTCAAATATACGGTACAACTTTGTGACCTCGTAGCTCAACTAGCTTTAATTTTAAACCCAAGTATCAGAAATTTTATATGGCTCACCAGAAAGAAGAAACATATACCGTTTCATTTACCTTATACTTGACATATTTTCTTTTAAAGGAATTGAGTCTTTGCAACAAATCCCAGTTTTCTAATACCTATATATTTACAAACAAATTATGTAAAATTTAAATATTTAAAACTTTGATTATTTGATACAAGAGAAGTCAAAGTTTGAAATATCTAAGGTCTACAACATTGGGTTGTTAGGATATAGGGATTTAAAAACCGGAGTTTGTGGCAAAGACTCAATTCCTTTACATACAAACTACACGTATATAATATTTACGTAATTTTTTTAAATATTTTTAAACGTTCAATTTACTTGCCCGCTTTTACAAACTAGCTGTATTCAATTAAGATTAATTTGACGTTAATTGAAACTTTTTGTTAAAAAAATTGTATTTAATGAATTACACAGTTCGTGGAAAATTCAAAGTTTCCGGAAACTCCAAATTCCTTTGCATTTCTTGGAAAAATAAATTGATGTTTTTGCTTTGCATGATGACCACAATTGTTTGCTTGATCTTATAAGAAATTCTTGTTTGAATTTCCGATAAAAGAATTTATAAATGATAAATTAATTGTGTTTCATTCAAATTTTGATTATCAGTTTATAACATTAAAATTACTTAATGTATTGAAATGAGAAACTGTTGAAATAGTCCAAAAAATTGAAAACTACATTTTTTTCTTTTATATTTATACCTTGCCAACCAGTTACAGTCGTTTTTATTATTCTACAAAACAACTTCTTTTTCTTGAAGTTTTCAAGATAGATTGTTTTATTTGCAAATGTCGATTTATTAAGGATTCTCTTTTTTCCTTGTCTTCTCTGTTCCTTGATTGCGTGTTTTCAAGCTCTTTCTTTTCANTGGTGGCTAATAAGAACTATATTTTGCGGCTAATAAGAACTATTTGGTGGTTTATAAGAAATTCAATTTCAAATGGTTTGGTGCATAAAGAAAAGAGAGTTTCGGAAGGAGGGTATATGAAAGGATAGCGTGCAGAAAAGAAGGGTTAGGGAGGGATAACGCAAGTCTTTAAGAGGGGAGGATGAAAGGCTGCGACGAAGAGGGTAGAATTGAAGAATACAATGGGAAAAGGTCAGGAGGGGATGGGGGGAGGGGAACCAAATTTCTATTTTCCTATTGTTTCCCCTGACTTGAATTGGAAGAAGAATCTTCAGAAGCTTTTTTCTCTTATCTATCTAATCAGGAGGAAGGATGGATTCAGACAAAGGCCGGCGGGGCGCTGGATCATTCCGCGTAATGCAGAGGGATAGCTGCCAGTTCGATTCCCCTCCTGGGGTCTTGAAATATACTCCATCCGGACTTTAAAAATTTAGGCATAAATAGCTAGACAGGATCTTGGTTGGACTGATGAACAGAAAAGAGGGTTGGACTGATGGACAGAAAAGAGGGCTGGAATGATAGACAGGAAAAAGGGGTTGGACTGATGGATAGGATAGAGGGTTGGACAGATG